TTCACCTAATCGTTCACCCTCCCTTGCATAACCTCTCTAAGCCCCTCATTTGTTTCCCTTCGGGCGGAAACAGTCCTTAACAAAGTGACCTTTTTTTATACTCTTACTAAAGACTGGAGCGGGTCTCACGTGACGGTCCGGCGAGGCCCAGTTGCAAGCGTTGGAAAAACGACCATTCCTTGTGGAGCCCGTGGTGCTGTGTCCCCCGTACCGGCCGACGCGTGTTCGAGGCCATCCTCACATGTTCAAATACAGGTACATAGGGGCTGCGTTTTGAAAACAAGCAGAAGCACGCCATGTTTCTTTTTCTTTTGGTCGTTGTGAGGGCTCTGCTGCGCTGGCAGTGTTTTGTCATTTTCTGCTTCTGGGGTGTATCATGGCGTGCGCAAAAGACAAAAAATATGAGTGCACTTTTTTTGCACTTTCGACGGGCTCCCTCGCACTACCATGTTCCAACGGAATAATCATTCTCACGGGCCTCATTGCACTACTCTCCACATGCACAAACGACAAAAAATATGGCAACGTATCTTTCCATGTTCTACCGGTGGATTCAGTCTCATTTTGCAATTTTGGTGAGTCCTGGAGCGAGGCCCGTGTACCCGCACTTTCTTTTTTCTTTTCTTTTTTGGAACTACACTGCACTTTTTTTGCACTTTCGACTGGCTTTTGCCATGCCGAAGTGTCCGCTCCGGCCATGAGCCACATCCAAAAATTGCGTACGGAGAGGCCCATGGTTGGGCACACACAAACGATCGTGGTTCCCGTAGCGACGAAAAATCAGTCCTCCATACTCGTGAAAATCAGGCTGACTACAAGGATCAGCCCGCAACCGCTCAAGGATGGAACTAAGTTCCGGATCCTTGGCTGTCTGCTCTACGAGCTCCTCCTTCAGTTTCTTTCGGAGGTCGTAGGATTTCACAAGGCAAGTCATGTACTCAGGGTGGCGAGACAATGCGTCAGCGACCCGATTATAACAACCCTTTTTGTGTCTTAGTTCAAAATCGAAGATGTCAATCTCATGGAACCAGCGACAGGGTAGTTTGCTGATTGATCCACTTCAAAGTCTCATGAGCTGAGAAGACTTTGAAGTGGCATCCCAAAAGATAGTGTTTCCAGTGATCCAACGCCATACGCAAAGCATAGAGCTCGCTCATGTAGGTGGAAGTGGCTACCTTTACGTTGGGCATGCGTTTGCTGTAGTACTCAAGTGGCCGCAAGCCATCGCCGTCATCTTGCTGCAGCACTGCGCCGATTCCATACTTACTTGCATCCGTAGTAACTACAAACGTCAGTTTGGGATCTGCAATGCGGAGTACCGAGTAACTTACCAAGGCGTCCTTCAAGGCTTTAAAGGCGTTCGTACACGCGGTGTCCCAAGAGTAGGGATCATTCTTACTTGTTAGTCGAGACAATGGACGCGCAACAATGGACAAGCGGGCCACAAACTTCCGATAGTATGACGCGAGACCAAGAAAAGAACGCAGTTCGCGAATGTTCACGGGCTGAGGCCAGTTGCGTATGACCTCCACCTTGGTTGCTTCAGGCTCTAGGCCTGCAGCAGACAACCGGTGCCCAAGATAGATGACACTATCCTTCCCAAACTCAAATTTATCTAAGCTGAGATGAAGTTGCGTCTTCTTGAGGATGGTCAGTACTTCCTCAAGGTGCTTGAGGTGTTATTCCATGGACTTACTGAAGATTAGAATGTCATCGAGGTAGACCACCACGAATCAGCCAATTTGTTCGCGGAGGACTTTGTCCATGAGGCTTTGGAAGGTGGCCGGTGCGTTCGTGAGACCGAAGGGCATTTCGGTGAACTCGTAAAGCCCATCGCTTGTCTTGAACGCAGTCTTGTGCTGGTCCGTAGGATCAACTTCAATCTGGTGGTAGCCAGACTTGAGATCGATCTTGGAAAAGACCTTGCACCCACCTGCGGCATCAAGCAAGTCATCTATACAAGGCAATGGATATGCATTCTCTCTTATGATGCGGTTTAGACCGCGATAGTCAATACACATGCGGAGTTTGCCTCCTTTCTTCGGAGCAAACCACACAGGAGCGCCAAATTCAGATTTGCTAGGTTTGATCCACCCCTTGTCAATCATCTCATCAATCTGTCGCCGGAGTTCCTCCAACTCGTCGCGTCCCAGTCGGTACACGCAGCCCTTTGGAGGGACAGCACCTCCAACCAAATTGATGGTGTCAGACCAATCACGTGGGGACTCCACGTGGCTCGGTCAGAACTTTCGGAAACCAATCGAGGAGGTTTTGAATGGCAGGTGGGACAGGTGGGGGTGGGGGTTCAGCAAAGGGATCACCTAGATCCGGTCGCAGGTCGCATATAGAGACGACCGAATCTGAAGTATGATCATTTGGACCATTAGATGGTGGAGAAATAGAGGTGCTACAAGTAGAAGTACTAGAAGTAGGAGCACTAATCGAAGTAGTAGTGGTAGTAGTCGCAAAAGTAGATGGCACATGGGTAGGACGAACAAAGGCAACATACAACTGTTCTTCCTCCTTGTGCTTGTGTCATTTCTTGCAGAACTGCATTGCATTCAGAAAAGTCACTGGGGACTCGTGCTTCTCATCCAAGAGGACAGGAAGCTCGTTCCGTCTAGCATCTTTGATCATGAAAAGTGACTCCTTCCACTTGGTCCATTCGCATTGGGACTGCACCCAGCCCAAGCCAAGGACAACGTCGAAGGGGCACTTGTCAAGAACATAGAAGTTCAACGCGTGTGTGACAGTTTTGTCCTTGTCAAAGGTAGTGCGCACACCTTTGACTGCATGCGTAGAGGAGACAACTTCTTTGTTGCCAACTTGGGTCCGACAAGGGTTCTGCAAGGCCACTTGCTTCATCCCCAAGCCCACTTTGCGTATCCCGTGCGGTGACATAAAGTTAGTCGTAGCACCACAATCAACCAAAACACGGAGATAGCGGTGGTGTATGAGAAGTTTGAAGAAGATAAACTTCACGGTCCCCTGGGCACGCTACTGTTTCATCTCGGCCCAATGCTCCAAGTGGTAGTGAAAATCGACCGTCCCAGACTCCTCCCAAGGCTCGACATACAAAACGTTACTCACCTCAGCCTTGTGTTCAACAGATGATTGGGCTTCAAGGGAGGACTGCTGATCTGCCTCAGATTCAGTCTCCCCTGTTGTAGAGTTTAATGAAGTTGACTCTACGCCCGGCTCTGGTTTCCCAGCAGCCTATAACAGTCTTGTACCTTATGGTTTGGTTTTTGGCAATGTAGGCATACCCCCTTCTTGAG